GTGTAGTCGTGTGTGTGTGTGTGTGTGTGTGTGTGTGTGTGTGTGTGTGTGTGTGTGTGTGTGTGTGTGTGTGTGTGTGTGTGTGTGTGTGCATATATATTGAAAATTGCATATATGTTGAAGTTGGAAAATTCATATGCATGTAATTTCAAATCAGGTGTAATTTCAAAGGGCAGTTAAATTTAAATAAATCAGCGCACTACTATTTGCACTGACTGACTTTCAGCTTTTTTTTGTATTTATTATAAAAATTGATTTGTATAATTTTATCACCGAGAAAAACGACGGCATGGTTCCAGATAAAACTTACATGGCAGTCACGAGCGTGGAAAGTACTAAGGCGTTTATAGGCTGAGAATATGGGAAGTGATATCACGGATTTTTTTATAGCACTGCCTTACGTACCTTTTCGGTCTTGTGTACTGTGGAATACGGATACCGCCGGGAAGTAGTTTACGGCTCCAGAGATTTTGGTAAGCGAATAATCCAATTTAATGCCGCGAGGGTTTCCGCCCAAGTTCGATGGAATTGCCGTTTTGGCGCGTGCGAATGAAAGACTGGCAACCAAGCTCAACTTTAATTTATTGCACATACACTTGTGGATTTTCTATAAGAGCCCTAACAATAATGTGGTGTTTTACGATTTCTATATTCCAATATTTATATATATATTTTTAGTTTTCCCAACTTTTTTATCTGCTTATCTGTAATGAAATTTGTAATGAAACGGGCTTTGTACAAGCATAAATTAATAGAAAATTGTATTTTATATGGGATATATCAAAGAAAATTTCTTCTTTTTATTATAGATTATAAATAGATTTTTCTGTATGGAATTTTTATTGAATATACTACTTGTATTTTTTAATACATTATAGATTAATCATAAACAAGTTTTTCTGCATTGAATAAACTTTATTGAAACATATTGCTCGTGTAACATATATAAATATATATTCTAGGTAAAATCTATCTAAAATATAATCTATTTAGATTACCTACCTACCTACCTAAATATTGTTGATTACAGATTTTGTATATTTAATATTATAATTCTTGAAGGACAGTTTATTGTTATGCTTATAATATTTTTAAAACAGGCAAAAATATAAAATTACACTTTTAATTAACATGTCACTTCATATTTTTTCTGTTTTATTATGAAACCTAGAAGCTTTTTTTAATTTCATTTTCAAAGCAGCTATTGTTCGACATTGAAAGTAATCTAAAAGCTTTAACAGTTGAAAAACCGGAAATTAAACATTGAATGTCGAGATTTTTTATGAAGTATATCGAAAGTATTATGTATTTTTATGAAATCATGCGTGAAACAAAGCATTTATTCTCGAGCTTTATTTTCATTCATTGCATCATTCAACTCGATATACTATTCGAATTACCTGTGAATATATCTGTTAAAAAAGAAGGCATATTTGAAAATGATGTATAGATTTTATTTATACATCGAATATCTTATAAAATATATAATATAATAAATTTTTTTATATACTTTTTATAACAGTCAAAGAATAAAATTTGTTAAAATTTTTAAAATTTTTAACTATCAATTATAAAAAATGTAAGGAAGAACTAAAATATATTTAATATAAAATATATAATATAAAAATGTTCTGTTGATTTAACTTATAAAATATAAAATATAAAATATAAAATATAAAATATAAAATATAAAATATTTCGTGCAACTTATAAACAATTATTAACAATTCAAACCCAATGTGAGTTCAAAATGCGGTTGTATGCGTGCATCAAATTTAATATTTGTTTGAAAAACTCTGAAAAAATTATTTCAACGATTTTAAAAAAAAGATTTGTATTTGCTTTCAATTATTAATTATACTTATCTATTAACGAAACAAAAAAGTATTGATTTATTTATTCTGTCGCATTTGCAGTATGCTTGCTTCGAAATATGCTACATGTATGTTTGAGCAAAAGAAAAACAGAAAAGAGAAACAGAAATTGAAGCTCGTGGTTGATTCGTTTGCGTATCAATAAAAGAGCGAAAATGTGCTTTGGGATGTGCGGCAAAGATACGCTGGGTACATGCTAACATGTGCAGATTTACTGGAAAACATTTTACGCATGCAATTGTTGGCTCTCTTCTAATCCCTTTCTTCCTCCCTTTTTCTGTTGTCTTTTTTATTTCCCTCCGCCTCTTTCGTTCTGTTTAGTAATTGCACATGCATATAAAAATTTACATTAAAACGCTTGAAAAGCCTTGGGATAAACTGCAAATCGTTGAATTTTGAATAAATATTTTCTTATGGTATACCAAAATGATATACGCTTTTCTATGATTTAATTTTTGTTCGACGTGATGCTAAATCTACTTTTGATTAAACTTGCAATTAAATAGCAATAAATTTCTCGAGTAGACAGTATTAAAAATATACCCGCAAAATTAAATTAAGACACTGAACGCATTGTTATCTTCCATTTCCTATTTCTTGAAATATTGATTTCTTGCCCCGGCCATTCTCCACGGGCTTGCAGCTGTACAGGATCTTAATGGCTCGATTTTATGGAAATCGCTGTAAGCTTCTGCCAGCTGTTTCCATTACGTCTCCGTTATGTTCTGTAAAACCTTTCGCGCCTTCAACTCACAGTTCTTACAACGCGCTCACTCGCGCTGCAAGAATGTCATAAAAGAATTTAATCGAAAAAGATAATTCAACAGAGAGCAAGGGCCCACCTTGATATCTATAATAACGTGTGTATGTGTCTGTCAGATAAAAACTATATTAAACAAACGATAATTCAGTTTGTCTGGAAATGAGCTCTCCTCTCTTTTTCTTTCGTCACAGATACGAAAGATATTGCCTCTCTCTGCGTATTTGTAAAAAGGAACACCTGCGAATTAAAAATCAATCGCGGCTGCTCCCATTCGAATTACATCCGGTCCATATATGAAACTCGCTGCGAGCGAGTCTTTTCATAAAAGATCGAATGCGTCATGTAAGTTTAATATAAATCTTCGATACGTTAAAAGTTAAGTGAAAAGGGATATAATTGCGTACGCGGTATCGGGAGAAAGACTAAAATTTGAGATACGGCGAATCTTCATCTCTTGGATTCTCGAATAATAAATGTGTATGCCGCCGAGGGGCATTAGCGGGAAGTAACTCTTTCCTTCGGAAAAATGCAAAAAACACGCGCGGCGCATTTAATTGGGAAAGTATTGTTGCTCCGATGCGCTTTTATATTCGCTCTTGTAAGATGCCCCGTTTAGACTCTTAAGATAAATGGAAAAAGGTGCATGCTTTTAACGATAATGAATGATATGCGGAAAGCCATTTGGAGTGATATTATATATCGATTTTAATAGTTCGCTGATAATTTAATCTTAACGGCAATGCTTGCGACATGATTTGGGGTATTTCCCAGAGAGATAACACTATTGATACATAAAAATTTTCGAATTTTGTACTTTTATGCAAAGTAATACGAGACAAAAATATGATCTTGCGAAAATATATCGCTACATCAATCCCATTTAACAATATGGATAATCCGGTCGCATTATATATTGTGAAGAAAAATAAAAGGAATAAATAAACGAAATAAGAAAAGATAAAAAAATAAGATAGTGAGAGAAGAGAATAGATAAAAAGAAATTGTGTTAAA